TTTAATACACTTGGCAATATACTCAATTTAATATTGAATTAAATTATATATTTCATTAATCATGTTAAATGAATTACACATTTATTGTGTTCATGTTTAAAGGGAAATTATTTTTTTTTTTGTTATCTTTTTCGTATTCATCGCATTTTCTTTGCCCGTTCTTTTCGTGTCTGCGGCTTATTTTGCAATTGATATCGCTGTAATTATTAAAGCGTAATTAAATATTGTTGCTAAATTAATTTTTAATAGCTTTAGCTCTTATCTTTAACGTCTAACATTATTTTTGGATGTTTTGTTTTTTTTTTTTTAATGCCACAAACATTTGTTAACTAAACTTTTTATGTTTTTCCGCCGCTGCTGCTGCGTTTCAAGGTTGAGTTTTACAAAGTTACCAATTATTTGAGCTATTGTAAATTCAAAGTTTTCCATTACGATAAATTGAGAGTTTGTCTAATAGGGTATATTAGATGTTATGTGGGCAAAGCAAGACGTAACATTATCAATGGGTAACTTTTCTAGCTCATCAAGCTATTGATCAAAGTTAAGTTATCGCCTGGAAGACACATGTGCGATAGTTAGTAAATAAATGATGTAAATGAGTAAGCCGACAACAATATTATTGTAAAATATAATTTTTATATTTAAAGCAATTATCTGAAGACATGAGCACAATTGATTAACGACTAAATGGGGCAAGTACCAATAACCAGCTTAAAAATAAAGCCATTAATAGGATAGCTTCACCCTTCAAATCAATTAAAATTTTTGCAAATTATATTTCATTTTTTTTTTATTAAGCTGCTAATTTGCAATAACGAAAAAAAAGTCGCACCTGCCATTAGTTAACGCTGCATATACACACATATATATAAATGTATGTAAACATGCATATTTATTGTATTTTACACAACAACCTGGCAACCCGCTTTCAAAGCTTTCAATACTCATTCTCTGTAAAGCTCAGTTTGAATTACTCTTAAGCTGGCCTAGCAACAGGCAGCTGATCACAGAAATTCAATTAAATACCAAATGTTGCTTACAAAGCTGCAGCAACATTTTCCACCTGCAGCCCGAACGACGCGCGCTTAGCAACAATGCTGAGAGCGCGGGCAACAGCAACAGCAAGTTCATGAGTCAGACTCTCTTTAAAGCTCAGCTTAAATAACTCTTAAATGTCTTCAACTCTAGCAACAAGCAGCTGCCAATAAAAGACCCCAATTAGCATGCAACTGTAAATACAAATGTTGAGTGAAGCGCTGCAGCAACATGTCTCAGAAGCTGCTTGGCAACAATGCTGCCAGCGCTGTGAACAACAACAACAACAGCAGCAGCAACAGCAACAAAGTGCAAACAGTTTAATGAGCCTCAATTAGTTTAAATGAAATGAAGCTGCGGCATTTTGATAGACAACAACAACAATAACAAAAACAATATAAACTCCAGCGAAGCGAAGCGTTTATTTAATTGAGTCCCATTTAATGGCAAGTAGGAAGGAATGTTGAAAGATCTGTTTGAAGTTTTAACTTAATGCCACATTTTACATGAGCTGCTTTAGAACTCTGCCTGCTCGACTTCAACATACCCTACCTAGCTCAACAAAATGTCAATAAGCTAAACAGATCACGTTACGATTCTTATGGCTTAATAGAAATGTAATTACATTCATCAATTTTCCATCGAGTATAAACCTGGAACCTAATAACACACCTAACAATCGTTTTATAAACCAAATGAATTATTAATGAACAATATTTAACGATATCTACATTAATTGCCATAAATGAAGAATATGTTTAAAGAGCATTTAGCCATAATTGAATGGCAATTAAATAAAATACTGTTGGAAACAAGTTCTGAGCGCTCTAGAGCAATGTTCACGGCCAGAAGATGCCCTGTAGCCGTTTTTAGAAATATATAAACAAAATGTGAAATAAATAAAACCTTACATAATCCCATTTGAGATGGACATCACGATTTCTGAACAACATGTCAAGTTTATAGAAAGCACAATGTTTTTCTTCCAATATATTAAAATATAACGTCGTAATTTAAATACCCTATGGCTGACAGCTTTGCTGTTATGTGAGCAAAATTGTAAATCTCTAAATTGATTCCTGCTTTAAAAAAACAGAAATTCTTCCATTCAGAAACAAAATTTTGCAACAGATTTTTGCCACAGAAATATTTGTTATTTTAGGGCGATGACAAGCAACTTTAAGCGCCTAAACTACCAAGTTAGTCTAGGATATCTGGAAGAACATAAGCGTTATTCAAGGAACATAATTTTTGATCGATATTTCCAATATAAGGGCATATAATAAACCAATAAATACCGAGTATGGCACTTCTTCCTATATATGAAAAAATCTCAGATAGATGTTTTCTATCTGTCCTATCCCAGCTAATTGATATAGTAGTCCGATATTGATAGGACTTAGCTTCTAAAAAGGGAGCGTAATTATTGCAAATATCTGGAACCTTCACAAAAGTTCTTTAAAGTTTCTATGACAGATATGTGATATACTAGCACGATCGGTTTAAGTTCTACAAATTTACTGTACTGCAACATTCTTTCTCGTTTCTCAGTTTGATATTATTCAATTTTGATAATTTCATCTTTTGTAATATATTAGAGAAGCAAAAGTGGCACCCTGTATAAAAGCTTTGGCATGTCTATAAAATCCACGCACATTCATTCGAAAGACCCCAAGATATATAAACTACGACCTGTTGTTTTTGGAAGTATTTTTCCAACAAAAAGAATATAAAGCTGTCACAAAGTTGTCTAGAGTCTGCCCGGCAGCGGTTGTGTCGCATCATAATGTTTGATTTGCTGCTGCTGCTGCTTCAGTTGCTGTTGGCCCTGGCGAATGCTCGATCTAGACGCGATCCGGTGAACCTGTCAACGCAGCTGCTGCAGCGACATGGCGCCAAGCGGGTGAATTTTAGTTTTGAGAATCGCATAGAAGGCTTGTACTACACCGAGCTGGACAGCAGCTTGCGCGATCTGCTGCTGCAGATACGCAACTTTACGCAACAAACGGTGCTCAGCCAGCTCGATTGGATACGGGCGCGCAATTTGGAGGCGGGTCGCATGCAGCAGCCAGTGTTGGCAAGTGCAAAATTTCCGTGTGATTTGCAAATCGGCGCCCGTTCCGCCGTGCCGCCCACGCACATTGCCAGGCTGCGCCCCGGCGACATAGACATTGTGGCCACGTGCGGCGACTCCGCCAACTCGGGCACCGGCATTCTGGGCCTGGGCGAACTGGACGCCTACGTGGAGTATCGAGGTTTCGCCTATACTGGCGGTGGCTTTGAGACCTGGCGCACAGCTCTGACGCTGCCGAACATTCTCAAGCTGTACAATCCGCAACTGCACGGCTTTGCGGTGGGCCACAGTCTGGGCGCCGATGTGAATGTGTCGCGCTTCAATCTGGCCGAGCCCATGCTTAGCATACAGGACCTGCCGTTTCAGGCGCATGTGCTGATCGAGCGTATGCGCAGGGATCCGCTGGTGAATCTGCGCGAGCACTGGAAGCTGCTCAGCATTCAGGTGGGCGCCAACGATCTGTGCTCCGAGCTCTGCAGCTGGCCCGATCCGGAGGTCTTTCTGCGCATGCTCGCACACCAGCTGCGCGACACCTTTCGCATACTCAAGCGGCACGTGCCGCGTTTGCTGATCAATTTTATTGTCCTGCCGGACATCGATGAGCTGCTCAGCCTTCTGTCCAAGGTGCCAGCCAAGTGTGCCGAGCGTGTGCCCTATTTCTGTAGCTGCCACAACAAATACGAGCAGCAGGTCTTCTACAGAGCAGCCAAGCGTTTGCTCGACCTGCAGCTGTCCATTGCCGCGCTGCCCGAGTTCCGCAGCGACGACTTTGCCATTGTCTCGCACGGCATACTCCGAAATATGAGCAGCTTCTGGTCACAGAACGGCGGCATGGACGTGCGTTTCTTTGCCAAAGATTGCGTTCACTATAGCCAGCTGGGTCATGCGGTGCTGGCGAAAGTTCTGTGGAACAATATGCTGGAGCCAACTGAGCATTATCTGGAAGAGACCTGGCGACAGCCGTTCAAGCATTTTCTGTGTCCCAATGCAAAGAGACCCTTTTTGAGAACTTTGGGCGACAAGTTCTAGTTCTAGTAAATGAAGCTCCCAATAAAATACAGCTTGGTTCAAGGCTTAAAGTTTAAGCCGAAACCTTGCTACGCTTCGAACTAGCTTTATTTTATTAAAAATAAATTTTATTATTTGTTATGAAAGTCTTACAAAGTCTGACACAATTATAAGCTAGACCTAAAATTTGCTGTGCAGTTCCGTCTTTGCAGTTCTTATTTTCAAATCTGTCTAGAAGACATTATATTCTGTTGTAAGCAGTATATTATTACTTAGTTAAATAAAATCGTCTCTAAGCCCTGTGTCTCAAGGGCCAAAAGGTCACAGAACAAAAGTTCAGCAAATGACTCAAGTTTTGGGCAATAATTTTTAATTGATATTATTTTAGCAAGCAGAAAAACTCAAACGACTTGCAAATGCACTTAAAAACAATGGAAAAAGCATAAAATATAATAAACAAATAAATCAAAAATGTAATAATAAATAATATACTAAAAGAGTGAAAAGAAATTAAATTGAAATATACAGAAAATGGGGGTAGGGAGAATTCTAGAAATTATATTAATAACTCTTGTTTTTTAATGTTTTTATTAAAAAGTATATTTTCAAAAATTTAAAAACTATATCCAAAAATATGAATAGTAAACATTTAAGACTTTTTTTATATATATATTCTTTATGAAATACCAATACTTAATAAGGCAAGTCGGGCTTTTGTGCGAAACTCTTTGAGACTTAATTTTCCATATAAATAATTCAAAAAAATATATCTTGTTTGAATGATTCAAGATATAAATATATATATAAAGATATAATTATATATATATTATATATTATATATTATATAAAGCAGAAGAATTCGAACCAGCATACGAATCCAAGCTTCACGCGAAGCGTTGATTGAAAATGTGAATTGAACCAGCGACTTTTTGTTTGTTGGTGATGCAGCCCTATCGCTTGCACTTGCTAATTGACTTTCTAAGAGGTCAAACCTAATTGTACTATAAAAACCTGGCTCAATTACGGGCAGTGCTCAAATTCGTTCAGCACCTAAGGCAGATTAGCTAATCATGCGTAAAATTTGGCTGCTTCTCACGCTGCAGCTCTTATCCTTGCGCACTATAAAGCCAGAGGAGCACATCCTGAATCGTTCCGCTCAAGAGATATCGCGCGTGGGCATCAAGCGTGTGGCATTCGATGCCAATTCCATTGGCAATGGCCGCATGTACTATACAAATCTGGACAGAATGCGAAACGTGATGTTGGCGGTGCGCAACGCATCCCTGAACGCGGCGCTGCAGCGCATGGACCAGCTGCTGGCCAGCAACAGGGCGGAGGGCAAGCTGCAGCAGGCGGTGCCCGCGGAGCAGCCATTTCCGTGCAACCTGAGCCAAGCACGATCCGCGCAGCCGCCCGACCACATCTGGGAGCTGCGACCGGGCGACATAGACATAATGGCCGCCTTTGGGGATTCGGTAATCGCGGGCAATGGGCTGCTCTCGCAGAACTATCTGGACATTGTGTCCGAGTTTCGGGGCTATAGCTTTTTGGGCGGCGGCCTGGGCAACTGGCGCACAGCACTCACCCTGCCCAATCTGCTGAAGCTGTACAATCCGCAGCTGTACGGCTATGCACGCACACACGGCCTGGTGGCGGACAGGCAGAAGTCCGTGTTCAACATAGCCGAACCCATGCTGACCCTGCGCGACTTGCCGTACCAGGCGCATGTGCTCATCGAGCGGCTGCAGAGCGATCCGCGCGTCAATATGCAGCAGCACTGGAAGCTGCTCAACATCCAGGTGGGCATGAATGACATGTGCTTCGAGCTGTGCTCCTGGAACGACACCGAGCAGTATCTGCGCCTGCAGCGAGAGCAGGCGTATCGCGCCTTCAGCATGCTGCGGGATCATGTGCCCCGTTTGATGATCAACTGGATTCTGTTGCCGAACCTGTACGATTTGCTGCGTACACTGCGTGGCTTTCCCGGGCAATGTAATTTGCATGTGATCTGTTCCTGCCTGACGGTCAATTATCGTGCCCACTATCCGGACGCAGTGCGTCGTTTGCAGCGCATGCAATGTGAGCTGGCGGCGCTGCCCGAATTCCGGCGCAAAGACTTTGTGATTGTGCCGCACCAGCTGTTGGCCAATCTCAGCGGCATTGTGTATACGCAGGGCGGGCTGAGCACACGTTACTTTACACACGATTGCATGCACTTTAGCCAGCGCATGCATGCGATTATGGCCGGCGCCCTGTGGAACAGCATGTTGCAGCCGCTGAATGCCACGGCGGCAAGGGCTTGGCGACGTCCCCTGCAAAACATGGTGTGCCCCAGCGCCGAGCGACCGTTTCTGCGCATCAGCTAGGCGGAAGTCTAGAGAGTAGGCCTTAAAATCAAGCAAAGTAAATAAATAAAATAGGCAGCACGCCCCATTCCAGCCTCTCCGGGCAACCTTGGCGGCGTCAGCTTTATCCATGACACTCCCTCATGAATCTGTATCTTTAGAGCTCGGTTCGCTTGTGTTTTATTGCAATCAATTTTTTTTATTTCTATAATATGTATCTTGCTGTGGGCATTAACCGATATCAAGTACGATTTAAATACAGCTGAGGCTAGACTTTTTGCACCACTTAGGCCGCAAGATTTCAGTTCCTTTGACAAATATATCTAAACAAACAATTAGCTATTAACATTTCAAGTGGCCGAAAACAACTGAAACTACAAACAGCAACAAGTTGGCAGTGCCCGACTTGTAGATACCCTAAGCTTAGCGCACAGCTGCGCCTCTTTATAAAAAATGTCTTCTTAAATAACTCGGGAGACTCAGATTTTAGATTTAAGTGCTTAAAAAAATCACACAAATGTGCTTATATAACAAAGAAAATTGCTCTACCTTTAAATATTTTAATATAGAGATATATTTTTATATTTATTATATTATATTTTTCCAATCTCCCAACACATACAAATTGTGATGCATCTAGCTTCTGTAGTCTTCCGGCTCTATTAAAAGAAAGAAACTAAATCTTTAAATTATCTCAAAACCAATATACCCTTTAAACACATTCGCCTTGTGTGCAGGGTATAGCAAAAACAACTGAAAAATGTTAGTTGAGCTTAATGTGCAAATATTTGTTGTAGATCTTTTTGTAGCTGAGCTTTGACTTCAAATCGTGCATAACAATTGGGATCTAAGCTAAGAAAAAAGCCGACACAGAGGCGTGGAGACGAGGGGCAGCTTTCACAAGTTGCCCCACACTTCAATTATGTAAAATTCTAAACACAAATCATGTCGCGAGCAAAGCCGGGCAATACCTGCTAGATATAAATATTTGTATTCACATATGTATAGATATTTTTCGCGCCTGAATACTTTGTAATATTTGTTTGACTTATGACTCCCCGGCGACAGCAATAAAAAGCTGAAAATTGCCTTACTTAGTAATATTTAATTATTACTTTGCTTTTTGAACGCTTGTCCATTTAGCTACAAATTGCCAATTAGTCCTGGCGCATTCAAATGTGCACTTTGCCAAGAACAAAGGCAACGCAAATAAATTGAGTCACAGATTTGAAGAGATACAAACATACTTACATATGAAATGATGCGTTCAAATTGCCGCAAAACGTTTACTCAAAACAAAGTATTCAGCTTGAAACCCAACAAAAATGCTCAACTTAATGTTCGAAGCAAAGACTCGCCATATGATTCGGTCAATTTGAAGTTCAAACCTTGATTTCTAGAAGTTTGTCAATTTTTTAAAGAGAATTATTTAATGTTATTATTCTTATAAATATGCAAGGCTTTAATATTAAAATAATCATTCGGTTCATGATATAAGTTTAAATTCCGAACTCAACCCGGCTTGCAGCTAAACAGTTTCTTAGTATTTGCAGACAGTTGAAGTTAATAAACTTTATGCAAGAATATAGCTGAGACCCCTTCTATTGTCCGGCTCTGGGCTGGAGGCCTACGCCCTTGTCTAGGCCGCCGCTCTGTCGCTCCAATTTATTTATAAACACGCATTTATTTTGGTTTTAAATTATATATGAAAATCATATAATTGTTGTCTGTCATGTTGTGTGGTAGCATCTATGTTGTTAGCGGTCGCCTCAAGGTAATTTATTTTGTTTTCGGGTTTGCTGTTAAGATACATATTTTTGTTTTTTTTTTTTTTTTCGACAATATCTTTGAACCCAACGCACTTGTGTGCTGAGCCCCAGCTTTGGGGCACAGTTGCGTCTGTTCCATTTGCTCGTTTGTTGTTGTTGTTGTCACTTTTATGGTAGCTAATGTCTCGGTCAACGCATTCAAGTCAAGTTCTGTAGCCTACTGCCGGCTCTCGTTGTTGTTGTTGTTGTTGTTGTCTGTTGGCTGTTGCTTTTAATGGAAGGAACGAGTGCTTGAGTACTCGTTACGAGCTCAAACAATGCGAATTTATATTGTTTGAGTTTCCATTCATAGCAACATTTAAGCGGCCGCCACATTTGCAATTCAAGTGAGAACGCGTCAAGAAGTCGTTGTGCGCGGCTGCTAATCACAGGACTAGAAAGGACTCTCAATATATTGCTCAGTAGTGAAAAGTGATAAGAATAAAACAAAACAATTTACGTTCCACAAGCATTCCAAACACGCTAAATCACAATTTTTAAACCATTTAAAGTACAATTGGGAAAAGTGATCAAAATATAGTTGCTGAAACAAAACAAAATCCAATAAAGCACACTCACGCTCCACATACAATCCATAGGCTCGAATCTATAACATTCGAAAGTTGAAAGCAAACACACAAATTATAACGTTTCCCATACAATCCACAAGTGTTATATTTAAACAAGATACGTTCCACATAGAATACCCATTCAAAAAATTGACAAAAACTAGATTTCACGCGCGCTTAAATGTATGCTAGTGGCAAATAGAATACAACATACAAATACTTACGTTCCACATAGCATCCACATGCAAAACTTGGAGAAAAACGAACTGCTGAACCAAAAAACACACTTGCCACAAGAATAACAGATATATTACTGGACAGAAACAGGCCAGAAAACAGCATCCACATGCGTTCCACTTTGCCAAACATGTGCTCCAGCTTAATTGTGATTTTTGTGCTAGTTTTCATCGATTTTACCGTTTCTCACGTTCCGCGCACACGCCGCCAGAATCGCTCCCATCAGCTGTTGGACAGCATTGGAATTCAGGCCAAGCACTTCAATCCGTTGCGTCCGGTCAGCAATGCTCTGCCGGAGTATACGGACATAGATCGGAATTATCGCCAGCTGCTGCTCAGCACACGCAGCACAGCGTTGAACTGGGCGCTGCGGGATATCGAGGCGCTTTACCGGCGCAGTCAGCACGAGGGCAAATGGCAAACTCTGATACCCAGCAATGTGCCGTTTCCCTGTCCGCTGAATAATACACGTTCCCGCACGCCGCCCACATCCGTGGAGCGTTTGCGACCCGGCGATATAGACATCGTAGCTGCACTGGGCGATTCCCTGTCCGCTGGCAATGGCATTATGTCCAACACGGCACTCGACCTGATCAACGAGTTTCGCGGTCTGGGCTTCTCGGGCGGCGGTCTGGGCAATTGGCGCACCACGCTGACGCTGCCAAACATACTGAAGGTGTTCAATCCGCAGCTGTATGGCTATGCGACGGGCCACGGCCTGGTTGTGAATCATCGCACCTCGCGCCTGAGCATTGCCGAGCCGATGATCATGTCGCACGATCTACTCTATCAGGCGCGCGTGCTGATCGATCTGCTGCAACGCGATCCCCAGGTGGACATGCTGCGACACTGGAAGCTGCTCACCGTTTTCGTGGGCAGCAATGACATCTGCTCCGACATATGCCACTGGACGGATCAGCGGGCGCTGCTCGAGCGGCATGCGCGCGATCTGCGCCTGGCGTTTCGACTGCTCCGCGACAATGTGCCCAGGCTGCTCATCAATTTGATAGCAGTGCCCAACATCCTGCTCACGATGAGCCAGCTGAAGGGCGTGCCGCTGCAGTGCTATCTGGTGCATCGCATTGGCTGCCATTGTCTGATGAGCGATCGGCTAACACATGCCCAGCTGCAGCAGCGCCAGGACACCATTTTGCGCTGGCAGCAGCTGGATTTGGAGGTGGCACGTCTGCCCGAATTCCAGCGCAAGGATTTCGCCATTATTGGCCATCCCATGATCACAAATATGACCGCGCCCAGGCTGCCCAATGGCAACACAGACTGGCGCGTCTTTTCCCACGATTGCTTCCACTTTAGCCAGCGCATGCATGCGATTGCCTCCAACATGCTCTGGAACAGCATGCTTCTGCCAGATGAGCACAAGCCGCGACCCAATCAGCTGCCAGAGCTCTTTGAGCGTTTCCTGTGCCCCAGCAGAGAGCAGCCCTACCTTGTGGTGCGGCCCAGCTGAAAGAACTAGCCACAAGCTAAACCTAGTTAAGTACCTTTGACCCTGGGGGAGTACAGCTGTCTTGTGATTTTTTTAAATTTAAATAATAATTTTAAAAATAAATTGCAAACGCAATTCCTACAGAACCTGATTTATTTTCCTAAAGCCAGTTTTAGGCATTTAGGCCTTAAAATAGGTGATTGTTAAATTACACTACATTGTTGACTAAAATATAAAAAAAATGGAATTCATTAAAAAATTGCTCTTGTTTTTTTTTCTGCTTGCAAAGCTGCGGAGCTTAAATATCTGTTAAGGAAATATACAAAATATATTTCGCATTAATATTTTTGCAGCTTAGTTTGTCGACAGCAACTGTCAAATTTAACATGCGTGTCAAAAGTGGCAACATTCAGTTGTCTGGCTCTTATTGTTGCTCTGACTTACGGTTTATTTATGCGAACTGTTTTTTGATTTATTAAATAAAACATAACACAAAGAACTATTTAATAAATCAATAAATGAGTTCAGGATGTACAAAAGGTGCCCGACTTATCTTATGGATTAATAGAGGCTTATCTTTGTCATGTGTCCAATAAAAATGATATATTATTATAAAGTATTTTATTGCCACACTATTCAATCATAAATTTGTTATCTATAGCAGCAATAATTAAGTGAAGCTAGCAAAATTCTAGGGCTGCGGTTTTTTTGTTTTTTTTTGGGATCGGCAGGGCGTATACCTTAAACCTGGTCCTGCCAACATTCCATTGTTGCTGTGCTTATCCGCACATTTGGCTTGTCTTCTTCTTCTTTTGCCTACTCCATTTCAATTAAAATATTATGCAATTTAATATGTGTGTGCGTGTGCTTGTATATATTTTTAATTAATTAAAAAACACTAAAAAACAATACTCAACGTCGCAGCATAAAAATTCATTAAAAATACTTTATGCTTATATGGCAGAAAGTATTTTTTCCCTGTTTGTTGCGGAACAAACCCCGAACCACCCGTTTTCCGACCGTACGCGTGACAACGCGCCGCCTGCTTATTACGCCTGGACCCCCCAGCTCCGCCCCCTGCCCCAAACCCTGTGCCAAACTCCGCTTAACCCCAACGCCCAGCCTTCCATGAAACAAAAAAATATATATATATATTTAAACAAAGCGAGCATTTTGCATATGCAACGCAGCCACCTGCAAACCGGACAGTTGCCAATGGGCGGCGACCAACCCCCAGGACTACACATATATGAGGGAAAAAAATACATACACGCCCACTGCAAACAAGGGGGCGAGGCTGGCGGTATGTGAGTATAAAAAAGCAACCAAAATAAAAAATCTGAAAAAATTGTGGCCGCAGCTAGAGCAGCAGCAGCAGCAGAAGGGGAAAGGGGCTGGGGACAGGGGCTGGAAAAATTATATTAAAAATGCACTGTCCGAATAAAGGGCGTTACACACACACAACACACACACACAGGCAAACTCGCTGACAAGCTTTTAAACCCTCGCCCTCCAAAAAAAAAAAATATATAAAAAAATTAAACCGAAATAAATGTAAAAAAAAAATGTAATAATAAAGTTGAATCGCTTGGCCAGGGTCTGGGCGAACCATGTCGTTGATATATACTCTCTTACACCTCTATACACACACACACACACATATACATATATATATATATATACATATTACATATTTGAACACAACAGCCAAAGTGTCCCATTGCAAAATATGCAATTTCGGGTACCAAAATAAATAAACCAAATAAACGAAATGGAATTAACCAAACAGCCAAAAAGCATTCTCATCAGCCAAACGAGATGTGAAAATAAAAAAAAATAATAAAAAATATAAAATAGAAATAGGAAAGGAAATATACCCCAAATGATAAATAAAATTAAAAATCTGAAGCCTTGATTAGCCCAAACGAGCATTAGCCTAGCCAAAAGTGGTCACCAAGGCCTCACACACACACAGCTCAGTTGGACAAAAAGTTCAAAAAAGTATACACACACACACACATACATATATATATATATATGTACATATATAGTATGTATCCCAGCAGAAGGAGACGCAAACAGTGCATAAATAATATAATATGATTGCAAACAAAAACATTTGAGCCATTTGAGCTTGTCATTTGTACCAAGTTTTCTACTTCTTTTTTTATTTCGCCCGCTCGCGGCATTTGGCAGCAGCCACCCACGGATTCTGTTTTGGATAGAAAATTGGGTGTTCGTTGCGGCAGTACGAGAGTGTATCGACATTGCCAGACTCCCGGTCAGCTGCCTGTTTCGGATAGCGTACCAATTTTGGTTTTTTTTTTTTTGTTAGAGTTTAGCCAACTGCGAGCTAATCAATAAAAAATATCTGCATATGCGAATGGAATTTTCTATTCAATTTATGTGCTCCGATTGAAGATTGGGCAGCGAATACACTTGTTTTAAGAAACTTGAAATGGTTCAACGAATTAAGAGCTTCAATTTGAAGTTTTGCTTATAGTTTATTAAAATTTGTAAGAATTAGAACCAGCAACTGCTCGCTTGTTGGTCCAAACTCCAATCGGTTATTATTGTTTAATTTGGGTTAACTAATTGAAAGCTACTTGAAAAGAAATAAGTATATTTATTTAAATTTTATATCCATATTCGAACCAGCATCTGCTCGCTTGTTAGTCCAGACTCCAGTCAGCTGGCTGTTTCAGATAGCGTAAAGATGCTAGTTGCAAGCAATATATCTGTTCTGTATCAGAACCGGCAACTTCTCGCTTGTTTGGTGCAACGCTTATGACAATTTTGTGGCAAATTCAAAGGCATGTCATCAATTCAAGTTGATGACAAGGCACCAACTCCCAACAGCAACTGCCGCGAGTCAACGAACCGACACTTAGCCAGACAAATCCATCAAGACAGCGCATCAACTGAGACAGAAGGGCGGAAAACTAGTATGGGCGGCCAATACGCAATGGGCATGAAAATGTCTGCAGTTAGCCGGCAGCAAGAAAAACGTGAAAAGTATTCAGCTAGAAAGATGGGTAGATCGGGGTCAGCAACAACAATAACAGCAATGGGCCAGAGGCCACTAGAAAAAGTGAACGCTTGACATTAAACAGGGACAACATTTTCGCTTTGCATGCAAAATGCCGGCACAAAGGCGCACAGGATGGCGCGAAATCGCATAAAGCAACTGACAGCCCCATCGCCTGGCCATCATCTGATCCGGCTCCGCCTGCTGCTTCACCTCCGCTAACGAACCGCCAAAACATCAGCCAGACAGCAGCAGCAAAAGCAACGGCGTCGACGGCGACAATGGCGGAAATAGAGCAAAGTTTCACCAAACGACCATCCGTACAATACAAAAAAAAAAAAAAATATTAAGAGAAAAACAAGTAAGAGTGCTCCAGTTGGGCGTGTTCGACTAGAAGTTATCCTGCAGCCAGCTATAAAAATTTAGTTTATACTCCAGCTGAGCTTTTTCTTTCATTTTTGCCAAACATTGAAAAATGCAACCTCAAATAACTCGAGTTTTTCTCGTGCGATTTCTATGAAACTGTCGAGACTTCATTTTGGCATCTTCTAGTGTGCATATCCCAAAGCACAAGACTCTAGCTCGAGGTATTCTACAATATGTGATATATGCTAACTCTAGCTAAAAGACCTTCTATTAATATCGAAGGGAAAAAGCGCCTCGTCGCTCGCCTATTGCATACATTGGCATTGAACGGTTATACCCCTTCGTTGCCCATTTGCAGGATATACAAAATAGAGAGAGAAAAAACTGGCGCACAGGCTACTTGAGCTGACCGGCAGGCACTCTCCGGCAGCCAGAGATTTGAGTGCCCCCTCACTCCTACAGATCCCTAGCTCTTTATTCCGCGCTCAGCTCGGGCGTGCGGTTGACGGGTTAAGGCGGACAGTTGACCACCACAGCTGGACAGCTGGGCCGCTGGACAGGAGGCGGCAGCTACTCTATGCTCTATGCGCCGTCTTTTCATTGTTCGCCGTTGCCCATTCCCAGCTTAATGGCCATGATTTTGACGGCTGTTTAGTGCGCCCTCTGGTCCAGGTTTTTGCTTTCCTCGGCTCTTTGCCCTGCTGCTAAGGCAAACGGATACGTGTGTGGTTCTTGTCATTTTCAGGGGCTATTCGAATGATTTTGCATAGGTGCTTGCTGCTTTGAAACTCCACGAAAGACAGCGTCTTTTAATAAGCCAGTAATAGTAATGAAAGCTGGCGTATGGTTTCAGGGTTCCGTTCTACGGAGGCTAACATTCACGGACAGGTCGAGAGAGGGAAGATAGAGAGAGAGAGAGAGAGAGTGGACCTAGTAATTGGCATACCTATTGCATAGCATACCTATTACCTATTAGATACGAAGTTTGCGAATTCAACATGCTTTTATTTAATGTTTAGGAAAAGCAGCATTGAACCAGCAATCGAGAAGTCGCTGGTTCAAATTCAAAAGTATTTTTATATAATTGTTTTCACTACGAATACAAATTTGATAGGAATTATTTGGAGCGCCTCTGCCTGAGTTAACCGTACAGCAATTGATGATGGCTTGCTTACAATCTAAACAATATTTCAATTATGTTTGAGCATAGTTAATATTTTCCATTGGGCACTTCATTCCCTTTTGGAAATGGGAACTCTTAGCGGAACAGAGGGTTATGTTTCCTTTAACAGATTAGTTCTTCAAATGCTTGCGAATAACTCGACAAGTATTTGCATTGTGCCACTATGCACAATGCATTCATGCGATTAAAAGCCTAAAATATACGACCGACTGCTATAAAAAATACAAATATGTTTCACATGGATACTCGCGTCTAGGGTATATCCATGCCATTTGCTTATGCCTTTTTGCCATTGTTTGCACTACACTTCAACGCACTTTCGTCATTGATCCGGTGGGGCTATCCACACACAACTAGGCGCTGCCACACACACACACACACACACACACACACACACACACACACACTCACACACTCACTCAACAAACACATACAGCCACCCATCCACAAGTCGAGACCAACTCCGGTTGCAGCATTCTTTTTTTTTTTTTTTTGTCCAGCAACAGACGTTGTCTATCTCGTACTACTCCAGCGAGGTTTTTATTGAATTTGCCTCGTCCTCCTACCAACAACAACAGCAACTGACCTGGCCAACTGGCTCGTAGCCGGGGCCCGTTGCATTATGCCGGGACATACGTTTTGAAATTCCATTTCTGC